ATGCCCCCAATATTTTTTTCCCCTTGGAAAAAAATAATGAACTTAAAAAATCCTCATATTGCCATCTAGTGGCTGCGGGAGGGATTTTCACTGTTTTCGGGCTCTTGTGAACTCTTCTTAACTTCTGATCAATTTCTGGTTTTTGGAAAAGACAAGGAAAGAAAAGAAGCCTCTCACCTTGAAAAAGGTAGGGGATAGGACAACAATGAACCACGCACCACCTAGAGGGTGCCAGGATATTTTTGAGTCATTTATTTTTATTTTGATTTTTTAGAACAGGAGATGTGGAAGTGTTAAGAAGTTCCAGGAGTGCTGAAGGGTGGCTGGAGTGTCAGAGGGCAGATCTGAGTTCAAATCCCCACTCAGTTGTGGAAAAACCCATTGTGGGACAGCAGTGCTAAACCACTCTTTGAACATCTCATGTACCCCAAAAACCTCATTAGGGACACCACAAATTGCAAACTACTTAATGGCACATAACCACGGTGAGATATAAGGAAGCTCCTTTTTTCCTTATGACTTTTCTTAGTGCCACTCTGTGATGCAATGGTCAGTTTTTGCTAACTTTTAGAGCTGTGAAGATGTGGCCTCACAAAGTAGTAGAGGAGGAATATGGCTCAGTAGAAGCACTGCTCATGCCACATCTCATGAGGTTGGTTTTCAAAGTAATTCCATTAACTGTTCGGTTACTTTTAAGAAAGGTGACATAAAGAATTACTTTTCGAAAACTGTAACTACCATGGTAGCTATTCAGTGTTGTTGGGCCTCAGAATTTATCTGCAGTTAGTAAAGTTTAAATAATTTTCTAGACTCATCAAAGGCAATATACCTCTGAATTTCCAGTTGGTGAGGAACATAGATAAGAAAATGCTGTTAATGTTATGCCTCACGTATGGAGTGTCCCAGCTGGCCTCTCCTTGTGGTTTTAAGGGAAATACACACCTCTGTTTCCTTCCAGCTAGCAGCAAAACAAAACAAAACAAGACAACAACAACAACAGCAACAACAACACTAGTAAATGCAGTAATGCAATAAAATTGTTTTCCCGGCCACCACCTCCCAAAATTGCCGCCTGAGGGGACTGCCTCACTTTACCTCACAGAAGAGGCTTGGCACCCACGCATTAGGAAAAAAAACACAACTAAGCCGTGATGGGATAATGTATGTGAAGTGCTTGTAGCACTTAGTCCAGGGGAGAAAGCATAATGTGAGTGAAATAAATACCATTATTTACAAGCTTGGAAGGTGGTTCAGAGAGAGCTGTAGAAAATTGGCACACTTGAACGGTTTCAAAAAGAGGAATCTATCTGGCCTCAGAGTCTGTCCTCCGCAGGTTCGCACCAAATAATCCCAGGAAGCCAGAATAGTAATGGAAGTCCCATTGTTTCCTTAGGACAGGTTTTTGACTCCATCCCATCTTTCATTTTCTGTAAAGTAAAATGTCTTGGAACATTACATGCTCAGAATACACACGTGTGTGTGTGTGTGTGTGTGTGTGTGTGTGTGTGTGTGTACCTACACACACACACACACACTTTTGTACATACAAATACAGGGATTCTGTGTGTGTACGTACACACACACACACACACATACACACACTTACTTTTGTACATACAAATGCAGGGATTTTCAGTTTGATGTAATGTACAGAGTGATGGATGAGGATTCTAGTGAATAGGGTTCAAATCCTCACTTGGCCATCTCTGGGGGAGTGGAGCTGATAAAGTGACTTCTTAAATATCTCATTTACTTTGAAAGCCCTGTTAGGGTCACTATAAGTCCTCTCTCTCTCTCTCTCTCTCTCTCTCTTTCTTGGTTTCACACACAGGATCTAACAGTGTCTCTGGCATGGCTTAACTTTTTCTTTGCTTCTTCATCTGGAGAGCCTGCTTCCGGGTGAAACAGCAAACATCAGTAACAGGTATAAAACCCCTCACACTTGATCGTTGTCATAACCTGCTCTTGCATTGAAATTTGGGGGGTGGGGGGGACAAGACAGCCTCCGCTGCCTCCTCCTCCTTCCTTCTGGCTCATTTCTAGGGTCACCCTAAGCTGGAGGCAACTTGGTGGCAGGGATGAACCGTAGCAGTCTCTTGCAAGAACTATGGATGTCCATTGGACAGCCATGGAATCTAGGAAAGAACTTGGAGGAGGAGGAACTACGGTGAGGAGCTGTGATAAACAGGAGTGGCCAAGGACGGTTGCTTGAAAAGGAAAGTCATTCCAAGATGGAGAACATATTGTTGGCCATATTGTTGTAGTTAAATGGCGGGACTGCTCGTGTCTGTTGAGAAAGATCCACCAAATGAGAAAAAGAGTTTTGAGAATCTGCAGCGCTGGTAGCCTGTATGGCGTTCTGGCTCGGTTGTCCATTTGGGGCTTGGGAAGATTGATCATTCATTCATTCATTCATTCATTCATTCATTCATTTGTTCGTTCGTTCGTTCGTTCGTTCATTCATTCATTCATTCATTCATTCATTCATTCATTCATTCAATACCCCGCCCATCTAGTCTTACGACCACTCTAGGCATGTTCTAATCTCTGCTGAAGCATAAAGTTTATGGGATGACCTCGGGCAAATCACATTCTCTCTACCTAATTTACTGTGCAGGCATGTTGTGAAGTGGGTGGGCAGGCTGGCGGGTGGGGTGGGGGGAACCAGTGTCTCTTCTTGAGCTCCTGAGAGGAACATCAGAATATGAATATAACAAACAACCAAACAAATTAGAACGGCAAGCTAAAGATCAAGAACAGGACGTCTAAATACCAACTTGTAACGAAATATCATTTAGGGCTACTAATTGTTCTTTAACAAAGCCCACCTAGTGTTCATCATTTCTTGGAAGATTTGAAGCACAGCCTTAAGGTCCGTCCTGTAAGGATGCTGTCACCAGGTTTCTTGTCAACGTGATGATGTTAGAGATCTTGCCAGTTCTGAGATGCAATGTGTTTGCCTGCTTCTGCAGATCAAATTACTGTTTAAAGCACCCAAGCGTGGGGAGGGGGGTCTTCTCTCTCCCTCCCCTGTCTCTTTATAATTGCTCCAAATCTTTTTCTGAATGGATCTTAAGAGATGTACTTTTCCCCTTTGAAGGACGTACAACAGGGGTGTGGGGAAGAGTACCTGATAAATTTATTACAGGCATGAAGCTGTTTAAAAGACAAGTCTTCTACTGGGGGGAAAATGGCTTAAACCTCCTAACTTAAATACTTTCAAGAATTTAACATACAGTTCTTAGAACTCCAAACTATAGCACATGTAACATCTTTGGATCCTGTAGAAATTTAGCAGAACACAGTTAGCACCACAAAGATATTAAATTTAGAAACAAGGCAGATAAGCAGAAATGAGAGGAAACAGTTTGTCGGAAATGAGTGGCGCCTTACATACACGCTTCCCCATTAGATTTCAAGGCCTTTGGCTGCTGTATGTTAAGACAGAAATTGAACAACAGAAGCCTTTTCCAACACTGGAATACTAAATATGTGAACTTCCCATCTACTGAGCCAGATGTTTGCTTTCTCTGCAGAGCCCTCGCCCGACAACCTTAGCTGAAGAGGTCAGTGATACTCAGAAGTCTGCATGCTGCAGTGAATGCCCCTTGAAAAGTATATTCATCATTTTAATTTTGCAAGAGACCATCATTACCATTTAGTTAATCATTTATACGACATCCTTCTCGAGGCACACACACATCAAAAGGAAAGGCTGAGAAAAAGCCCACATGAGCTGATCCAGATATAAGTTTGCCCAGCAGCTTATAAAATCCTTCTTTAAGGGAGACGGCTGTCATCTGCACTCTGCGTTGTTACGTTTAATTTGTATTTTGGTTAAACTTTATTAAACAAAGCTCAGGCCATCTGTAAATGCAAGCAATAAAAAGGTTACCAAAGAGAGTGAGGTTTTGAGGCTGAGAGACAATCATCATCATCATCTTAGAACTGCGAAGCTGGAAGGGACCCTATGGATCATCCAGTCCAGCCCCTGGCAAGGTGATACAGGGGAAGAATTGAACTCCCAACTTCTAAACCACTAAACTATCCATAATTGTGTTATTTATTTAATCAAGTCCAGCCCCTGTCAAGAAGATACAAGGAATCGAATTCCCAACCTCTAAACCATCCATAATTGTGTAATTTATTTATTCCTCTTTCTTCTGCTTTATGGGGGTGTGTGTGTCTCAAAAGTCTCCCATCACTCCCACCTGAGAAAAGTGCTTGCCAAGTCAGCTTAGCCCCCCCCCATGATCCTCTCCAAAAAAAGGGGGGAGGAGAGATCCAGATGGATCTACAAAACCCAAAATCCCCCAGCCAGCTTTCCTCCCAAACTTTAGAAGTTTGGAGACCAATCCGGCAAGGAGGGTGTCAGAGTAGAGCGGACAAAGGATCCCGAAGTTTTGCTTTGTTTTCGGGGTTGCCTTTCTCCCAAGGCGGAGCATACATTAAATGCTGACCATCCCCAGGACTTGAACCCATGACCTCCAGCTCTTTAAACTCCCTCCCTTCTCAGTCGGTCGGTTTCCCTGAGCTTCCACACGGGAAGAGGGAACGAAACAACCCAAAGAGGGAAGAGTGGGGGGCGAACCCCCACCTCTAGGAAGGAATGCGAGGACACAACCCTTCCCCTCTCCTCCCTGCTATTGGGCAGCCGAGCATCGCTGCCTATATAACCCAGCTCGATCGCGCCGGCGTTGGTCGGGTGGCTTTCCTCCCCAGGCGCGGGCGCGCGCATAGAGGGCGCGCACACGCTCCCTACACCATCTCGCAAGGTAGCCGCTCCTCGGCGGCTCGGCTTGATGGCTGGGGCGCCTCCATCACCCTTGGGGGTCGGGGATACCCCACAGAGGATATCAGCCCCCTTTTCTCCTGGCCGATGGGCCGCAAAGAAGGCGGCAGCGGGACCAACCTGTTGACGAGGAGCGGACGAACGTGAGAAGGAAGGTAAGACACGCATCTCTCTCTGTGTGCTATAGATCGTCTCCACGGGTTGGCCATCGTCGGCTTTTAAAGCTCTCTTCCCAAACGTAATGTGAAACATCTAGGGTAATAATCCCAGGACCCACACTAGTGCTAATAACAAACCATTAAAAAAAACTAAGTTTGTCGATAATAATAATTACTGTTTCTCATAGTAACAATGACGCGGAGATGGCTCTCGTGAAAGTAACGCAGAGGTGCGTTTTCGTTCCACAGATGTTTCCCTAGGAGCTAATAAAATCCTTCTTTACGCGTGCGGTTGAGGTGCTTTTTCGAAAGGGTGTTATTATTATTATTATTAATGGAGAGGTGGTTTTTAGAAAGGCGGTTATAATTAGCGTTAATGAGGAGGAAGATGGTTCTAAAAAGGCTGTTCTCATTATTAACCTGTAAATGAGTCCAGAAAGATTCTTGCTGTTATTGATATGAAGATGGTTGTAGCAAAAGCTAACCGTGGTCATAATAATAAAAATAATAGCCATTAACTGGAAACCTTTTCCCTAAAATGAAGTAGCGAGAACTGACAACAGCGAAACCATTGTAAGATAACAATCCTAGCTTTTCCGAAAACATGGTTAAGGAGACCGAGAAAAATCCGCCCACCAACTTACTCGATCGTGTAAATATAGGATAGGCTGTTTTTGACATAACGGTATGGTTCTGCGCGTCGGGCTCCCTTTTCCCTCTCAGCTATAGGGGAGTCTAACGTATTGATTAAAAGCCAATCATTCGGTCGCGCAAGCGCGTAGGTCGGGAAACTGAGGCAGAGCCGGGAGAGAAGCGTTGGAAGGAATCGGAGGGAGATCCTTCTTGGTCTCGTCCACAGGCACGCGCGTCCCGCAGCACTTCCGAACCGGCGGAACAACACATGTAGTAGCAGCTGTTGAATGGGGGACGTTCAACAGGTGTAGCTGTGGCTGAGATTCTTTGCTGGGCTCGTCGGAAGAGCGTCTTGTGCGCTCGGACGCTCAACACTAATAAAGGGCTTCTGGTGCCCTTTATTAAAAGACACTGTGCAAGTATTTTATCTCCTTCACCCTTAAGGGTTTATTTTTAATAAGCAGAAGAGGAGGGGAAGAGATACAGCGAGGAAACAGCGGAGAGGTTCCAGTGGGAGACTCAGCAGCATCAGCGGGTCCTCTGGTGTAAAACTGCGGAGAACTTGCTTTATGCAGAAGCATTCCAGATCTATGGCACCAGTGGGGGCTCACCCACCACGCCACCTCCTCCGTTCCCCTTTCCAAATCCACGCTGGCCACATAGGCTCTACAGAAGAAAAGCAATAAAGAGATGATCAATCCCTTTTGTTCCGTGCGGGGTCCTCTGGTGTAAAATTGCGGAGAACTTGCTTTATGCAGAAGCACTCCAGATCTATGGCACCAGTGGGGGCTCACCCACCACGCCACCTCCTCCGTTCCCCTTTCCAAATCCACGCTGGCCACATAGGCTCTAAAGAGAGCTCCCACAGAAGAAAAGCAATAAAGAGAAGATCAGTCCCTTTTGTTCCGTGCTTCCCACCTAACATCACAGAATCGGGGGTAAACTGCTCCTGAAAATGGAGGTTCTCTCCTTTATGGTCGGGGAGGTGAAAATGCTGCACACAGAAGCACCGCAGGGTTTGGGGAAAGAAGCTCACAAACAAGACACAAAGGGAACTGGTCCCTCCTAGCAGGTCTGAAACAGACTGCCACTGAACATGGAGGATCCACCTTTCCACTTCTTGCTTTTCAAGGAGAGTGTCAGACAAGGGAGCCCCATCCTGTAGAGCAGTGGTTCCCCAACCTTAGGCCTCCAGATGTTCTTGGACTTCAACTCCCAGAAATCCTGGCCAGCAGAGGTGGTGGTGAAGGCTTCTGGGAATTGTAGTCGAAGAACATCTGGAGGCCCAAGGTTGGGGACCACTGCTGTAGAGTTTGGGTTCTTGTGATGCCTAAAGAAGATGGTGGGTGGATCAGAATATTTCTACAAGGAAAAGAAATGTTCAAGGAGGTTGTGATGGAGAAGGCAGACTCATGCCTGGGAGCGACGGTCGCGTCTGCTTGAAAAGCAAAACACACCTGTCACTGAGTTAGGACAGGTAGGTGAGGCACCTGAGATTATTTCCTGGTTTGATCAATTCTCCCGAAGTACATTAAGTAGCCTTAGCTCTGTTTGGTCAGCATTTGCTGTCTATAGAAAATAAGTGAGAAGATCGAGGCCCTTTCACAAGGGTAGTAGCGTGCAGCGGTTAAAGCAAACGGGGCTTGGAAATGGATTGCAGGGGGGGCGGTCTAGGACCCCAAGCAAACAACCGAAGTGCTTTTATTTTCTCTTGTCGGAGGGGTGTCTTTTTGGAGACTTAAAGAGAAATTCAAGGGCGCCACTCTGAACGGATGGGTAGAGAGTCGGAGCAGCAGGACGCTGAGCTCCATCACGCCGTGTTCTCGGCCTCCCAATTAAAGCCCAGCTCATCATCATCCCCCCACCCACCCCAGGTCCTGAGGATTTAATAGATTAATCGCTAATCTGTGACGGCTCGCCGGGGTTTGTCTGTCTCCATGTACCGACAAACAGCTGGGCACGCATCAATTAGCGCCTCTAATAGGGCCCGGCGGCTTCAGAGCACGCGTCCCGACGGCTCGCTCATCATCTTTGGTAATAATGAGCCGCGCCTCCCCTGTCGCCGGCCTCCGCCCGAGGAGGGACGCATCCAGCCCCGCGGGCCACAGCAGGACGCAGGAATGGGAGCTGGCCGGCTTCCGCAGCGCCCGCGTCCCGCCGGAGGGTTGATGATGATGATTAATGATCTTGATGAATGAGCCCGTTTGGAAGTATTAGCTGGTCTTTAACACAAGCCTCGCCTGCATTAGCAGTGGGGGAGAGGCAGCCTGTTGTGTCTCAAGCCCTACCTCGGGACTTTGCCATAGAATGCCGGATGCCTATCTCGGTGGGTTGGAGTACCTGGGTATAGGGGTTGGGAGTCTGATTCCCAATTGTGCCCCCTGGAGAAAAGTCCCAGACGATTTAGGCATCCTTCAGTCTCCAGAGACTATGGTAACGTGCTCTGTATGAGGTCTTGGAACAACGTCTAGTGTGGCTGAGAAGGCCAATTCGAGAGGGACAATCCCTTCCACACTGAAGACAAATCCAATCTGTCCCCTGTCCAGCTCCCTGGTTTTGCTGCTTTCGTGACTGCCTCTTTGCCTCGGCCTGCTGGACAAGGGTCTCTTCAAATTGGGAGAGACCCTGATGCACTGCCTACCTCCAGGCTGAACACTCAGAGGTCAAAGTTTCCCATCTGTTGAGGTCCATTCCTAAGCCCTTCAGATCCCACTTGCAGATATCCTTGTATCGCAGCTGTGGTCTCCCTCTGGTTCGCTTTCCCGGCATTAATTTTCCGTGCAGGAGATCTTTTGAAATCTGACCATCAGCCATTCTCACAACATGCCCAAGCCAATGTAGGCATCGCTGTCTACATTGGGTTGGGTTGGAGTACCTGGGTGTAGGGGTTGGGAGTTTGATTCCCAACTCAGCCCGCTGGAGAAAAGTCAGCCTGTGGAACCTTGTCCAGTCCCCAATGCTAAGCCACGTCTGAGTCCTCGAAAACCCTGGAAAGGCTTGCCATAAGTCAGAATCAACCGGACAGCACATCATAATGACTAATCAACATGGGAGATGTTTAAGGAGTGGGTTGACATTCCAATTTGTTTTTCCATGACTGAGCAGGGATTTTGAACCCAGGTCAACTGAGTCCTATTCTGACTGTTCTACACCATTCTGGCTTTGGGTCACATAGTTCCAGGATCCCAACTGGAACCGAGTTTTCCTTGGGTTGTCAGAAGTTGCACAGGCCGTGAATCCGTTTGGTGACTCCTGTTTCAGAGGTACTGAGGATCCATTCTGGGTCTTAGTGTGCACTTCAAAAGGACTGTCCAAGGTTCTGGATCTATTTGGAGGATATGTCTCAGCCTTTTGGATAGCTCTACTGACATGAAAAGTAAAAGCTGGAGCGGATTCATAATATCTCCAGAACTGGAGTCACCAGCTGCTACCGTGAAGCTTTGGTGGGCCCAAGGTTGAGAATTACAGCTTGAAGGAATATTTGTAGTTGTATTGAGCTGTCACAACCAGACTGCTGTCACACAAGGGAATACACACTGGCCCAGAATTTCACCACAACAGATTGTGTTTTCCCTTTTAAAAAAAAGTTCCCTATCTAGAAAACGTTGATGGGATGTGGTGGCGCTGCGGGCTAAACCGCAGAAGCCTGTGCTGCAGGGTCAGAAGACCAAGCAGTCGTACGATCGAATCCATGTGACAGAGTGAGCTCCCGCCAACCTAGCGGTTCGAAAGCATGCAAATGCAAGTAGATAAATAGGGACCACCTCGGTGGGAAGGTAACAGCGTTCTGTGTCTAAGTCGCACTGGCCATGTGACCACGGAAGATTGTCTTCGGACAAAACGCTGGCTCTGTGGCTTGGAAACGGGGATGAGCACCGCCCCCTAGAGTCGAACACGACTGGACAAAAATTGTCAAGGGGAACCTTTACCTTTACCGATCTAGAAAACTAGAAATAAATGATTATTGATATTTGCATATGGACTTGGTCAGAGGGTTGCTGAGAGCTTTGATTAAAATGATGCTCTAGAAATGTCCACGTGGAAAATTTTACATCTCTTGCCTAGCTTTCCTCTAAGGCATGCACCTGCACATGCGAATCTGCCCTCGTCGTCACAGGGCTCCTCCTCCTCCTCCGTGCACCCACAGCAATAGTTTTCAGCCTCATTGGCTCCCAGTTATGATGGATCTCTGTATGGGGTCAACATCACACCCATGCCGAAGTGACCTTGCGCATGCGAGGGGCCTCATTCTGCCCAGTTAGAAAGTTGCTAGCATCCCGAATGCCCATGTTTCAAAGGTGCATCTTTTTGCATAATAAAATATTAAAAATTAATTTAAGCATTCAAGATCTCCTTTTTTGCAT